TCACTGTGAATCAAACCACATGTGTTGTCCCTATAATGTTTTTATCCATAATGAGACCTTTTAGACTGCACAAAGATTCTAAACATCAGATGTAAAAGTAGTTTGAAAAAAACATGAACATTCCAGGATGGCTGTGACGCCATCCTGGAAAGAAACATCAGCTGTGCTGCTTCCATCAACACCCTTGTTTATAGATGCTGGAGATCGGCCTGTTTTCCAGTGTGGTGCTGTTTCTCTGACCGTGACTGAGTGGATGTGCTCTCTTCGTCCTCTGGCATGGGAGCTCGTCTGCCTGTCTGTGTGTTTCCTGGACGGGGCCGCCTTCTACAGCTGCTTGTGTCTCTGCTTCTGTCTCTTTGAACCCCAGTCCGACACAGCAGATAGCCGCTCACACTGATTCTGGTTCTGCTGGAGGTTTCTTCCTGTTAAAAGGGAGTTTTCCCTCTCCACTGTCACTACAAGCATGCTTAGTGTGAGGGATTGTATTTGAGTCAATGAGTCAATGCAATCAACTGGTTTTCCTTAGATTAGAAAACTTTGTATCAATTTGACTGTATGATCTGGTTGAACTATAAAGTGCCTTGAGATGACATGTGTTGTGAATTTGGCGCTATATAAATAAATTGAATTGAATTGAATAAAAACAAAACACAGATATAGAGAAATAATAAAAGTGACTCATTCAGTGGCAATGCAGGCCTTTTTGTTCTATTTACATTTTAGAATTATCATTTCCAAAATAGGGTTGCCTCAAAAGCAAAAGCATGCACTATACGTGGCCGCAGCACTGTGGCAAGGCCCTCAAACAGTGTGACAGCAGCTTAAAAACATCACAGTGAGTGGATTGGTTTGTCCTTAAGGTGATGGAAACTAAGTGAAAACAAGGGCAGAAAGAGTCTTTACAGAATTATATTAGCTATTTTAATGACACAAAATTTTAAATTTTTATAAAATAAAAGAAATAATATTAACAGTGTAAACTTTTTTCCCTGTATATAGCTATATAGATAAATATATTTTTGTTCCTGTTTGGGCCACAAAACTTGGTTGCACACTTTGCTGTCTCGATTTATGCTGATGCTGTTATTTTATTTCATACTGTTAATTTTGTCTGACATCTTGACTTATTGTTACACATATTGCTTTGGAAACTCTTTTTTTCATGCAACCTTTTCCTTTCAATGACAAGAGGTAAGAGTAAAGCCACAGCATCACATAGAAGCTGCTATTTTACCTTTGACCAACCTTTGAGGTTTACAGCAACAGAAGCTCTGCAAGCTTCCCCCAGAAAAGATGTTAGTAAGGAGCAACAAACCATTTCATTCTAAATAAGGGATGTAACGTAAAATTACTTTAATTCTTGATGCTGCAAAGTTGAATAATCATATTATTATTTGCATACTTAAAAAGGAAAAGGTAACTATCACTTCAGCTTTCGAACGGTTAGACAGGAAATAAAGC